ACGACATGTCTTGACTAGTGTAATCACATCCCGGCCGAACAGAGTATCTGAGAGGATGTAAATCATGGTAACTCAGCTGAACCACAGAGGCTCGACATTTACTTACTGCGCACGAGGAGACCCCCTCCACTTTGAGAGGTTGCTCCCACAGTGTCGTTGGTGAGACTAAATCCCATGTCATTCTTCCCAAACTTCACCCCTATGACCAACTGAGCTTGGGCGAGCATTGTGTGAATCATATTATCAAATAATATACATTCAGTACACAAATGATGTCGTTTTAATATATTAAAAGTGTACATTGTATTCAAAGAAAATACATTATTTGAGTTCTAAAAATACATTATTATGTATAATATACATTCACTACAAGAATAATATATTTTTAATATATAAAAAATGTATTTTTTTTTTATAGTTTCTCCACACACTAATTTGTCTTGTCTAATGGCATGGGTTTGTTGAAGAGGAACGAGGAAAAACAAAACAAAACAAAAGTGGAGCAATGGGCGGAGAAAGAAGGCACTCAAATTTTATAAGACTTACTTTCATCTGATAGGCACAAGAAAGTTTTGTATTGAAAAATAGGACAGAAACAAATAGATTTATAGTACTATAATTTCAAATTAGCTAGCCTACCGTGATAGCTTAAGTGACAAATGAGCTCTCTTTGTATGTGAAAATTTTGGGATAATCCAAGTTTTATTCTCACAAGATACGGACAAAGAAAAACTCGAATTACTCGTGGTTCACACACACACACACACACACACACACAAAAAAAAAAAAAACTAAAATTAGCTAATTGATTAAATAATTCAACATCCCAAACAAATCATTTCACTTTTAATTATCAACTATTGTGACTCTTTTAATTTTGTCTAGTTACTCCTTAAAATTTACTCCCTTTTAAAGTGACATGTGGCTTGCAGTCCTTGCAAGAAAGGCTGAACTTACCCTTGCAAAGGAGTAAGTTTGTAAGATGATGTGGCTTTAGCCACATCATTTTTTTTATGAAATGGGGTGCAAATTTGCAAACCCTGACAAAAGCTGCGGTAGCTTTTGTATATTTTTTTTTTACTTTTTAATATTTTAATATAATTAATAATATTATTTTAATATATTTGGCCCACTTTTGAAAGTTGATTAAATTTGTAAGAATGTAGTGTGAATAGTAGATGATTTGCAAATGGGATGATATGAAAGTGAGACCCATTTTTAAAGTGAGAGAGATTTGCATGGATAATGTTAGTCTTAGCAAGGATTGCAAGTCTTGGAAGGTGAAAAAAAAATAGAGTTAATTACCAAAATGGTCCCTTGACTGTAGCAAAATTACTAATTTGGTCTTTGAGTATTTTTTTTAACCAATTAAGTCCCTCAACTTTAAAATTTTTAACCAATTTGGTCCTCCGTTTGTTTGATCGTTATCAACCGTTAACTTGGGACCAAATTGGTAATTTTGCTATAGTCAAGGGACCATTTTGGTAATTAACTTTTGGGGTGGACAATTCGGTTTAGTTTTCTCTAATCGAACCGTACCGAACCAATTGGTTCGGTAATATAACGAACAACCGAATGGTATTGGATTCTTGTATACCGAACGGTTCAATAAAAAACTGAATCGAACCGATCCGAATTGTTCGGTAAAAAATTGAACTGAATCGAACACCGTTTGATTTTTTTTTAAATAATAATAAAGAAATAAATAAAAAGTAAATCCAAATCTCTTGCTACTTGCTCTGCCATTCAGCTCATATTCTCACGGTATCTCTCGTAAATGTTTTATTTGATTTCTTGATGGTTTGTTATCAAAAGTTCTATATTATGTGTTATGGTGTTTAGATTGTCCATATCCAAAGTCTAATATATAACAAAATAGCAATCCAAAGTTCAAACGGTATTATGTTCGGTTTTTACCGAACAATTCAGTTCGGTTCGAGTTTTTACCGAATCGTTCGTTATACAATAATCTATTACCGTTCAGTTCGGTTGTTCGGTATATTACCGAATCTAACTAGTTTGGTACGGTTCGGTTCGAGAAACTAAACCGAATTGCCCATCTTAAAGTTAATTACCAAAATGGTCCCTTGACTATAGTGAACTACCAATTTAGTCCCAAGTTAACGGTTGACTAACGGTCAAACAAACGGAGGACCAAATTGGTTAAGATTTTTAAAGTTGAGGGACTTAATTGATCAAAAAAAAATAATCAATGACCAAATTGGTAATTTCGCTATAGTTAAGGGACCATTTCGATAATTAACTCAAAAAAAAATACAATGTCATGAGTGGAGAGAGAGTCTTTATTACTTTTTAAATCATTTTTAATAATTTAAATAATAATAATAATAATAATAATAATAATAATAATAATAATAATAATAACATTGATGAAATATAATCATTTTTTAATGTGATGTGAAATGTGGACCGACTTTTAAAAGTGAGTTGAAATTTTAGGGATGTAGAGAAAATAGTAAACGAATTGTAAATTTGATGATTTGGAAATAAGACTGATTTTTTAAAGTGAGAGAGTATTGTAGGGATAATGATACCCTAATGCCTTTCTTATTTGTAAACAAAATTGCTATCCTTCCATTCATGACTTGGTTCCTTAATGACCCGAGTAGAGCGTCGTAACCCATTTGTCGTTGACTCATACCGTGGCGTATCCATTGGCAATTGTTATATCGTGCATCAGGACGCACAATGCATTGTACGCCTAAAATCACATGTTAAGTATGTATATAATCGTATAGTAGGATACACATAAACTTCTAACATAATACACATATACTCTTTAACATAATACACATATACTCTTTAACATAATACACATAAACTCTTACGGCGAACAATGTATTGTGCACCTGAGTGCACGATATAATTTGCCATCCATTGGTGTATCACTCCCCTCTCCTTAAAGAGCACCTTGTCTGCAAAGTGAATGATTGAAACTGTTAACGAATACACTCTAAATCTTCCCAAGTTTGCATCTTCCAACAACCCATCATTCCAGTGAATCAAACTTTGTTCACCTATCTGTCATTTACTAGCACCTGTCGGGTTCCAGAAGTGCTACTATACAGCAATGGACATTGGTATAAATTATTAAATACAATATCGAGTTTACAAAAAAATTATATAAAGTGGTGCTTAAATTCAATTATGCTGGCCCATCAAGTTGCAAAGACTTTTGACCATTAAGTCAAGTACCATCGCTATAACGCTATACGGTGATGATACTCAATAATTAAAATAGGACAAATAGGTGGTGACGTGGTATATTATGAGGGAAAGTATACATCCGTGTCATTTGACATAGTCACTGGACCTGGTTGACCCGCATTATTTATTGAGGTTAGGCCTTCAGCATCCGGTGCTAGAGATTGTTAAGCGGTCTTTCAAAAATATGTGTGACTATAAAGGAATAAAATTATACGGAGATCGGTAAAAAGTATTAATTTTGATCTCTCACTGAATTATAAGAATATTGATGGATGAGCCTCTTTCATTCAATCACACCATTTCAAGTTGACGCAGTCGTAAGTCTTCACCCTAATATTACCTAACTCATATAAAATTAGGAAGGATACTGTTATTGGAAATTAATTTTATTAAAATTTTCTTTTAGGTTGCGTTTGTATAATTAGAATTTTATTAGAATTGTATAATTAAACATTTTAATTATTTTATTTAGAATATTACAACATGTATAATAATAATAATAATAATATAATATATAATAATATAATAATTTTAAATATAATAAAAAATCACTAATAAGATATCAAAATAACTCACCAAATCTTGTAATTCAAAACAAAACAACAACAACAACAACAACAACAACAACAATAATAATAATAATAATAATAATAATAATAATAATAAGTGGTATAGTAATGGTGGTATGGTGGTGGTGGTGGTATAGTGGTGGTAATGTGGTGGTGGGGGTGGTAGTGTAGTGGTAGTGGTAGTGGTGATAACGTGGTGGTGGTGTAGTGGTAGTGGTGGTAGTTGTGTTATTTGTTATATAATAATAATAATAATAATAATAATAATAATAATAATAATAATAATAATAACTGGTGGTGGTATGGACGGTGGTGTGATGGTGGTGGTGTAGTGGCGGTGGTTGCGGTGGCATGGTTGTGGTGGTAGTGTGGTCTGTACTGGTGATGGTGGTAGTGAGGTGGTGGTGGTATGTTGTTGATGGTGTTGGTGGTGTGATGGTGGTGGTGTGGTGACGGTGATTGCGGTGGTATGGTGGCGGTGGTAGTGTGGTCTTGTACTGGTGGTGGTAGAGGTGGTGGTGTGATGTTGGTGTAAAAGTTGGAAAATGATTTCTCTAAAAAAAAAAAATCATTTTCCTCCAAAATAAGCCTATTTTTCAAAGTCAACAAAAAATGATTTCCATTGACTTTTTTCCCAGCACATCCAAACACTGGAAACCTACAAAGGTTTCCAAACACACCTTTATATTACCTGAAAATTGAAAGACAGGAAACACATTTGGAAATTTCAATATATTTGCCCTCTATTTTTTTAAAGCCAAAAAAAATTGTGTATTTCTCTTCTCCTCCTTGAGCCTAGCTACAGTGGTTGTACATGGTAAACTCAGGCAGGTGGTGGTGGTTGGCGGTGGTGATGTTGGTTGTATCAGTATCAGAACCTGCGTTCTCCGACCCACAAACAAACCAAATAGGCAATCTGGGTTGCAGCACCTATAATGTTGCCGATGCGCCAGATTATATCAGGGAACTCAACCTCAGCTTTGCTGATCTGAGAACCCAGTTATCCAGCGCAAACAAACGCTTTGCCACCTCCAATCAGCAGGCTGTCTAGCCAAGGTTGCAAAAATCGCTAGGCGCTCTCTAGGCGCCTGGGGAGTGCCTAGAGCGCCTAGGCGGGCGCCTAGAGTAATGTCTACGCAATGGTACAATGCAGAAAGTACCTCTCCACTGCAGACTGTGTGGCCTGTTTCAATGCCGCCGTGTTAGTAACCCGAAACTGCCCCATCGCCACCAGCTCTGCTATTGTAATATTTGATGGCTGCTTCCTATGGTGAGTTGTTGTATGCTTACGCTTTTAGTTGAGATGGAGCATAATATATGCTTCAATCCTGAGCCTTTGTTTGTTTGTTTGTTTGTTTTAATTTGTATAGGTACCGCGATGGTTACTTCTACGACCAGATTAAAGATCAAATTACAGGAGGAACCTATCGAGTTTGTGGTAAACGAACTGCCAGCAAACAAGATATTTTCAATGCAACAGCACAAAAACTACTAAATGAGCTTCTACTTGCAACGCCCAGAATTCATGGCTTTTACGCCGCAGCAAAGCTGCAGGAGGAACCTCCTAGTGGTGGTGGTGGTGCTACCACCTTTGCGGTGGCGCAATGAGCTGAAACCGTGAGCCAAAACAGCTGTCAAGATTGTTTGACATTAGCTTACAATAACATAAAGGGTTGTTTACCTAATTCTGCGGATGGAAGAGCTGTTGAAGCAGGATGTTTCTTGAGATATTCAGACACCCCTTTTTTTGCTGATAACCAGACAACTGACATAGCACCCTTCTTAGGCAGAGGTATATATATCTATATATATAAGCTAGAATATGTTATCCTTAATTTCTTGCTGTTTCTTAAGCATCTTCTCCAGGGAGTAATTCAGGGAAGAAGAAACCTATTCTTGCGGGTGTAGTCGGTACTGTAGTGATCATTTTGGTATTAGCAGCCCTTTTCCTTTGGTATGTGCAATCAAGAAAGCAAAATGCTTGGAGAAGAGGTGAAACTCCTTTAGTGGCAATCATTATATCCTATCTTCATATTTTATAATTAATTTGACCCTCTTTTCACTGTTGGTTAAAATTGTTTAGGTCTGTACGTGTTAACTTATATATGGACTGCCTTCTTCTATATATAGGCAATATTTTGGTGGCAAGGAACTACGTATATAAAGATTTGAAAACCGCAACAAATGATTTCAGCCAAGAAAATATACTGGGCAAAGGAGGTTTTGGTGATGTATATAAGGTGAGTAATAATTGATGAGGGCAGAATAAAATTTCCGAATTGAATGAATATACAAGCAAAGAAAAATACTACATGTACTTTCACTTTTTTACTCTCAATTTCTACCCCTCACAAATCTTTGAGGTTACACTTTTTCTGGGACCCACATCATCATGGAATAAAAGTGAGAGTAAATTTGAGAGTACATGTAATAGAATTCTAGCCGCCACTCTGATTTTTTATGAGTAAACTGCAGGGCACCTTACAAAGCGGGGATGTGGTGGCAGTAAAAAAACTGTCAACAATTTCTAGTAGAGCAAAGGCAAACTTCGAGACTGAAATTAGTCTTATTACAAATGCGAATCATCCCAATCTCATTCGTCTATTGGGATATTCTGGCAATGGAAAAGTGCTCATATTGGTTTATGAATACATGGCAAATTCCAGCCTTGACAGATACATATATGGTACTCCCATCCTCAAACATTATATTGTACGTTGTTATATAAATAAACTTTTCCCATCCCATTTTTCATGATTGAATGGGCAGGAGAGAAACAGGGAATGTTGAATTGGAAGAAGGGTAGACATAATATTGGGTACGGCTAAGGGTCTTGCGTATCTGCATGAGCATTTGGATGTATGCATCATACATTGAGACATAAAATCCGGCAATATACTACTTGATGACGAATTCCAGCCCAAAATAGCTGATTTTGGTTTAGCGAGGCTTTTACCAGAAAATAAGAGCCATCTTACAACTAAATTTGCAGGAACTTTGTAAGCCTAATACCCTTATTTTGTTTTCCACGTTAGTTTTATTTTAATGTCCACTTAACTATTGCTCGTTGCAACAGGGGATATACAACGCCAGAATATGCAATTCATGGGCATTTATCAGAGAAAGTTGACATCTACAGTTTTGGCATTGTCGTCATGGAGATCATCAGTGGGCGATGGAGCAGTGACTTACAAGTTGAGCCTGTAACTGGGTATCTCCTAGAACAGGTAATTTATTGTCTGAAGAAGCAACCAGTTTATCTGAACTTGATATATTATTCAACATTTGACTTTTGTATATATGTATCATTTTAAATATAATAAATACAGGCATGGAAATCGTACGAGAATGATGAACATCTAGGACTAGTGGACAATTACTTAGACCCAAATAAGTATGAAGTAGAGGAAGTGAAGAGAATGTTGGAAATAGCATTAGTGTGCACCCAATCACCCTCCAATGTAAGGCCAAGCATGTCAGAATTGATGGTCATGCTTTCAAGTACGGATGCCTCAATCATTCAAAAACCCCAAAACAGGCCAACCACTATTAGTGATTTGAATAAGAGGATACCTACAACTACAAACACTTCAACACTTACTAATGCCACCATTTCATTTTCTCGTTTCTCAGGCCGTTAGTTACACCTATTTTGATCTAGCTAGCTTGCTTGTGAATGGAAACTGTTGGGGAAAAGGAAAACGCGTTAATAAACGAAGTTTGGAGAGGAAATGGGTTCCCGGCCCAGACCATATGGTTCAAGAATGGGGGAAGCATATATGGACTACAACTAATGGATACCTCGAGTAGGGTACTCAGTCGAGAGGTCGAGTTGATCACTCGACTTTTGACAGTTAAAATGTGATTGTAGTTTATACTTGAATGGTTTGCACTTGACTTGACTCCTCTCTCTATATAATAGAAATGCAAATGTTGTTAAAGATTTTTTTTGTTACTTAATTATTTCTGTATAAATATGTGGTATTATATGTTATAATATAGGGAAAATTGCATCTTTAGTCCCTGAGTTATAACCAAGTTCCAACTCAATCACCAAGTTATGACCGTAACCGAGTTTAGTCCCTCAGTTATGAGCAAGGTGGCGAGTTTGGTCCCCAGCGTTAATATTCTATATGCAGCTAACAGAAAACTTTTAAAAAAAATTAATAATGGAGGGGTAAAATGAGAATTTCAAATTATAATCATCTTCTTATGTTGAAACCCATTGCGTAATAGTCATTCTTTTCTTCTTCTACCTACAATCACATGTCTTTTTCTTCCCCAAGCTCTGAAATCTCAAATTCGTCCACTTCCAAGCTACGAAGTCCACATGTAAGTTGTTTCTCTATTTTATATGTTTAAATAAATAATCAATATCCCCCGTATTGATGAACTAATTTAGGTACCAAACTTGCCAGATAATTTAGTCATCTTTATCCAAATTTGAAGATTATTTTCGATGTAAATATGGTGAATTACCCATCAAAATGTCATGGAGTTATGCTAATCCAAGGAAAAGATACCAAGCTTGTCCACGTTATGGAGTTAATTTTTGTATTTGTCAAAAGATTGTAATTTAAGTTGTTTTTTTCTTAAAAAAAATAGAATTGAAATATTGAAATTTGATTTTTCAGAAAAACGGGAGTAGGGTTTCTTCGCCGATTACATAAGCAACTTAGAGCTTTTGTCGGTTTGGGGAGAAAGTATTTTGGCTAAGTTTATAAAATGGGGAAACAAGTTATATTTCATACAAGTTTTATTAAGGAATTTACTTCTTTACCCATGGAATTAACTCTGTCAGCACATCACTAGCGTCAAGGACCAAACTCGCCACTTCTCTCATAACTGAGGGACTAAAAATAGATACATCAATAACACAGGGATTGAGTCATCACTACAATTATAACTTAGGTACCAAACTCACCATTTTCCCTATAATATATGCTATGTATCTTTGTGAGGCCAGGTATGGTTACATGGTGTTTCTAGTCCTGTGAATTGTTCAATATGCTTTGTTGGAAGGATTTAGTTTTGAAAACTTGCTTTATTGCTAAGGATTTAGTCTTACTAACCTTGTCTAACCGCAATTTCGCATATCAAAACTGTGTTTGTAAACCTGCTCTTTTACAAACATTATTTTGATAAGCTAATCCACTAATCCAGCTTAAGCTAAATATCTTTAAAATTTTATTTGAGGTATTTAACATGATATTCATTGTTTATCTCATTAGTATATATGTAGTTGTATTAATAGGGTGAGCAAAAAATGAAGACCGACCGAAAAACCGATAACCGAACCGACCGAAAATTTCGGTTTCGATCGGTTATCGGTTATTACCTTAAAAAAATTTCGGTCATTTTGGTTTTTCGGTCGGTTATCGATTATGGACCAAAAACAAAATAACTGACCGAAAAACCGAAGAAGAAGCCCACACATTTTGACTTAGCCCATTACTTTTATCTCATCTACTAGCCCAAAACTAATTTACACTATAAATTTAAAGTATAAAATATAAAATTACAGAAGATATGAGTATGCCGTATGCATGTAGCTAAACATATTATATTTGTTTCCAAAAACAACATATTATATTTTCTTTAAAACATATATAACATATTATATTCTGTTTAATTACTACAAAACATATATGTATGCAGTATCCAAATTTAATTTGTTAATTATATTTTGTTTAAAATTTACAGTTTATCTTTTATTTTGTACTTTAAATTTTAAGATTGTGTTTGGACTTTGGAGTGTGGACATTGCAACTTTGGGCATATGATTTTGAAATTCTTATATGATCGACTATTTTAACTAGTAATGTGTTTTTAGTGTTTAAAATTTTGAGTTTAGACTAAATTTTTAAAGAAATTTCAGCATGTTAGGTAATTAAGTTCGGTTAAAAATAACCGACCGAAACCGACCGAAATTTTCGGTTTTCGGTCGGTTCGGTTATGAAATGTCCGTCGGTTATTTCGGTCGGTTATGCGAAGGTCATGAATTTTTCGATTATTTCGGTTAATAACAAAACCGACCGATGCTCACCCCTAGTTGTATAACAAACTTATATGTTCTTTGACAGACAACTGAGATGGCAAATAAGGACCTGGACATATACTACAATACCCTCTGCTTTTGTTGCATCACATCATATAATTCCTCAATTTATAACACTATAACTCTCATATGCCATTATTTTCTCAGTAGATCAAGTATTTTGGGAGATGCTAAATTGAAAATAGGGTCAATTTAAGGGTGTGTTTGGTTCATGGGTTTACACACTAGGAATGAGAATCAAAATCATATTTAGTGTTTGGTTGACAACTTTTTAAAACACAATGAAAATGAAAGAGATAACAAGAGAAACAGTTCTATGAGTGTTTTATTATAGAACTGTTTCTCTTACGATGGTCAGAAAATCGGAGATTTCCAACAGTTGGATTACAAGCAAAACTACTAAAAAAGAGCTAGGAAAAAGCGTGTGTATGAGTGTATGACACTTATCGAATGGAATTTCTTAAATCCATTACCTCCAGCCACAAGATAACAACATTAATTCTATGTCAATTTCTCATTAAATTTCGTTTTTATCATTTAATTGACCTCGAGTGATTGAAGCATGTACTCAATTTCAACTAAAAGTTTACATTAATAGTTGGTTCACGTGTGGAAGCCAATTACTTTAGACAGGCTCCAAACAACACGTGGACGAATTGCATATTATGTTTATATATTATATATATATATGCTCAACACGAGTAACCCTCATTGATAGAATGATCAGCACTCAGCACCTTAGTTATCGTCAACACTCAACTACTACCTTGCCTCACGTTCAACTATTCAATTTATAAGCCTAAGAGCCCTATTCCTTTCCACATTTTCTTTTTTTTTTTTTTTCCCCGAAGTTTTCACCGGAACATACAACACCAGAATATGCAATTCATAGTCATTTATCAGAGAAAATTGACACTTACAGTTTTGGTGTTGTTGTCCTGGAGATTGTTTGTGGCCGAAGGAGCAATGACGTGAAAACTGAACCTGTAACTGAGTATCTCTTTGAACAGGTGATTTCTTGTTTCACAACCTAGTGTGAAGAGGTTTACTTACAAGGAACAGTATCTTCTCACATCACCTTGGACATCACCAATAGTCATTGCAAGAGCAGTCCCCTTCTTCGAAATGGTGGAACCTATTTGTATCTCTCAATATAATTCTTCTCCGTGTTACTTCTGACACAAATTTCATCCAAGTGTGACAATCTGCACAAACACGAAGATTCTTTGTGATCCTAATGGGAACTCCAGAACCTGTATTAATCAACCCGAATACTGTTGCTAGCCTTTCACTGTGCCCACATACCATATCTCTCCTAACAAAACCCGAAATCAAAGAGTTCCAACTAACAACATTCCTTTCAGGCATTTTCTCAAACACCTTCAGCACATCTTCGAAGCACCCACTTTCCATGTACATAGTCAAAAGGCCATTGTATACAACTTGGTCAGGCTCCGTTGTAGATTATATAATCTGGGCATGAACCGCTCTACCGACTCTCAAGTCCAGCAAATCCGAATAAGCCTTTACCGCTACGGAAAATGCAAAATTCCCGGGTTCGTTGACCTGGGACAGCATTTCAGAATAAAGAAACAGTGCTTCTTTGGAACGCCCATTTTTGGAGTACCCAATAAACATCGCCACCCAGACAGACTCGGGCAGGTCTTGAGTAAGTAAAAACTGGTGGAATCATAGCTCAAAGACTGTTTTATTCATTGATGTTCTTGAGTAAGGAGACAGTAGGGAGTGTTGTACATGTTAGAGAGAGTGTAGCAGAGAGGGAGAGGAATCCCCCAAAGAAGGGCTAATGCCCCTTATATAGGCACAAGCATTGATGTGTTTGACTTTGACCCGCTGACCCGAACTTATTTGATCCCGAGTCCCGACCCAATAGAAAACGAGAGGAACGTATAGTGAAGTCGAATCGGGGCATATTTCTTATCAAATGTAAAAATAATATACATATTTGTACATTTCATTTTTGAGAAGACGATGTTCTAACATACCGATGGACGGTCAACTCACACTGAGATTTGAACTTGAGACCTCTTATTAGCTTACAATAACATAATTCTGCCGATGGAAGAGCTGTTGATGCCGAATGTTTCTTGAGATATTCAGACACCCCTTTTTTTGCTGATAACCAGACAACTGACATAGCACCACCCTTCCTAGGATGAGGTGTATATATATATAAACATTCAAAATTATCCACAAGGCTTATGAGTGCTATTCACAGAAAAATTTTATCAAAAATATCAAACAATGAAAATTTTGAAATATTCAATTCTTTTTATTTTTTTGCTCATTTTCTGGAAAATGAACCAAACACACAAAGACAGTTTTACGTTTGGTAGCCAAACACTGAAAAGGAAAATGTTTTCAGGAAAATGACTCATTTTTCAGAAAACATTTTCCAAAAGTCATTTTACAGCTTTCCAAACGGAGTCTAAATTTGCAGGGACTTTGTAAGCCTAAGCCTAATTAACACCGTATTTTGTTTTCCTTGTTAGTTTTTATTTAATTTCCACTTAACTATTGTTCGTTGCAACAGGGGATATAAAACGTCAGAATATGCAATTCATGGTCATTTATCACAGAAAGTTGACATCTACAGTTTTGACATCGTCATCTTGGAGATCATTAGCGATAGAAGGAGAAGTGACATACGAGTCGAGCCTGTCACTGAGTATCTCTTATAACAGATAATTTCTTGTCTGAAGAAGCAGCGAGCCAGTTTATCTTGATATATTATTCAACATTTGACTTCTATATATATGTATCATTTTAATTATAATAAATACATGCATGGAATTGTACGAGAATGATGAACATCTAGAACTGGTGGACAATAATAATTTAGACCCAATTGACTATTAAGCAGAGGAGGTGAAGAGAATGTTGGAAATGGCACTGGTGTGTATTAAGGATTATAATTCATCTGTTGTTTAGTCTTTACTGTTAGCTTTATTCTCCATTAGAGTAGGTCTTCTTTGTTGTGTAACTTATCTCCTGTAATGTCTCTTGGTTGTACCTATATATGCTTCTGCTCTTTAATGCTTAATACAACAGTTTATATTTTCCCTTCATATGGTATCCAGAGCCTAAAGCACTCTCACGAGAATTTTTTTTTTTCTCTTTTCTTCTCCTCTTTGATCCAATGGAGATTACAGATGGTACTGCTATCATTCAATTGTCTGCTCCTACTCACTTTCCAATTCGTCTCACTACGGTTAATTTTCCGGTATGGCGTCGGCAGATTCACTCCACTCTCATTGGACTTGGACTGCTAGGCTATATTGATGGCACACAAAAGGAACCAGATGCGTTCCTTGACACTGCACGTCAACAACCAAATCCCTGTCACCTCATTTGGTTTCGCCAGGATCAGGTCATTGTTAGTGCTCTTCTTGGTAGGATTCATCTGTTGTTTAGTCTTTACTGTTAGCTTTATTCTCCATTAGAGTAGGTCTTCTTTGTTGTGTAACTTATCTCCTGTAATGTCTCTTGGTTGTACCTATATATGCTTCTGCTCTTTAATGCTTAATACAACAGTTTATATTTTCCCTTCATAGTGTGCACCCAATCACCCTCGAATATAAGGCGAAGCATGTCAGAAGTGGTAGTCATGCTTTCAAGTACTGATGCCTCAATCATTAAAAAACCTCAAAACAAGTCAACCACTATTACTGATTTCAATAAGAGGATACCTACAACTACAAACACTTCAACACTTACTAATGCCACCATTTCATTTTCTGTTTCTCAGGCTGCTAGCTATGCCTACGCCTATTTTGATCTAGCTAGCTTGTTTGCTTGTGAATTGTGATGTGTTTGTATTTATTTATAGAGGCCAGGTATGGTTACATGGTGTTTCTAGTACTGTGAATTGTTCAATATGCTTTATTGGAAGGATTTAGTTTTGAAAATTTGCCTGTGTCCATGTACGGCCCTCAAGTTACCCTCATTCATAGAATGGCCAACTACTCATCAACTTCCATGGCACGTTGCTTCATTTCTGTTCTTTGGTTATTTAAGCTAGCTTTGAATTGCCTTGTTAAACATACAGTTAAGGATTGGAACAAAATGGCCAATCTAATATAAGTAATACACAATTAAACATTGAAATAACATATTTAGAGTGTTTGGTAAATGGCTATTAGCTGATAGTAGTTTTTTTTTTTTTTAGCTGATAGTTGTCAGTTGATTGAGTTAGTGAGTTTTACTAGTTGATAGCATTAGCCTAAAAACATGTTTAGTAAATTAGTTGTTAACTGTTACCTAGTAGTGGTGCAAGTTGCAGAAACTCTCCGCCAACCAGTCAATTATCATCGCTAGAAGGTGATGATATTCAATGAGGGAAAGTATACATCCATGTCATTTGAAAATTGGAATGGTCACTGGCTAAAGGTTGACCATCCAGTTGAGGGTAACAAAACCATATAAAAATAGAAATGATAGGATACTGTTCTTGATAATCAATTTTATTTTATTTAATCTGAAAAAAAAAACAAAAAAACAAAAAGACAGCAAGATATATATTCCAACAATATGTTTACCCTCTATTATTTTCTTATAAGTCAATTGCGTGTATTTCTGGTCCTTAGCTTGAGCCTACAGTGGTCATATATGGCAGGCTCATCAGGCAGGTGGTGGCGGTGGTGGTCCGCGGTGGTGATCATGGTGGTATCAGTATCAGAACCCGCGTTCTCCGACCCACAAACCAACCAAGTAGGCAGCCTGGGTTGCACCCAGTTCAGTTTTACCGATGTACCAGATTCTATCAGGGAACTCAACGCTAGGTTTGCTGATCTCAGAAACCAGTTATCCAGCGGCAACAAACACTTCGCCACCTCCACTCAGCAGGCTATCTACGCCATGGTACAGTGCAGAAACTACCTCTCCACTGCGGACTGTGTCGCCTGTTTCGACGCCGCCATGTTAGTAACCCGAAATTGCTCCATCGCCACCGGTGCTCTTGTCATACTTGATGGCTGCTCCCTCAGGTGAGTTGTAGTCAAGTGTAAACATATATAATTTTCAGATCAAGTAGACGCTCTTTAGCATATAATAAACATATCAGCTTAACATTGAGATGGAGCACATGCTTCAATTTGGCATTTCAATTTAGTATCAAAACTAAATATAAATGTGCAACTCAACTATCAGCAGTTTAAACGTTTAGTTTAGTTGAGATGGAGCACAAACTTCAATCTGTCTTAGGTTGTTATGATAAATAGTTGGAGTTGTTTGTTTTGTATAGATACCAGGACAGTTACTTCTACGAGCAGACTACAGATCAGATTACGGTTCCAGGAACGTATCCAGTTTGTGGCAAACGAACAGCACGCGACCAAGATAACTTCAATGCGTCAGCGCAACAACTACTAAATGAGCTCCAACTTGCGACGCCCAGAATTAATGGCTTTTTCACTGCAGCAAAGCAGGGGCCGGGGGAATCTGGTGGCGGTGCTACCACCTATGCGGTGGCGCAATGTGCTGAAACAATCAGCGAAAGTAGTTGTCAGGATTGTTTGTCGGAAGCTTACAAGAACATACAGGGTTGTTTACCTAAATCCGCAGATGGAAGAGCTGTTGAAGCAGGATGTTTCTTGAGATATTCAGACACCCCTTTTTTCGCTGATAACCAAACAACTGACATAGCACCCTTCCTAGGAGGAGGAGGAGGTATAGAAGAAGCTGTTTCTTATGCACTCTGTTTTTGCCTAAATCCATCCTGTACAAATTTTTAATATTGGAAGCATCATCTCCAGAGAGTTCAGGAAAGAAGAAAGCTATTCTTGCGGGTGTAATCGGCAGTGTAGGAATCATTTTGGTATTAGGAGCCTTTTTCCTATTGTATCAACAATCAGGAAAGCCAAATGCTTGGAGAAGAGGTAGTTGAAGCTCGTTTAGTGGCAGTAATCTTATCCACTATTCATACTTTATAATTTTACTGTTTAGGTATGTGTTAACTTATGGACTGCCATCTTCTATATATAGGCAATATTTTGGGGTCAAAGAACTACATATATAAACATTTGAAAGCTGCAACAAAAGATTTCAGCGAAGAAAATATTCTGGGTAAAGGAGGTTTTGGTGATGTATACAAGGTGAGTAACAAAGATGGATCATACTAAAAAGAAGTCAATTTCTTCACTAATCCCTTTTCTTTTTCTTGCTCATCTTACAATTCATGAGAGGGCAGAAATTCAGAAAGAATAATCAATGCCATTCTGATCTTCTATGACTAAACTGCAGGGCGCCCTACAAAACGGAGATGTGGTGGCAGTAAAAAAACTGACAACAATTTCTAGTAGGGCAAAGGCAGACTTCGAGACTGAAGTTAATCTTATTACAAATGTGCATCATCCCAATCTCATTCGTTTATTGGGATATTCTGGCAATGGAAAAGTGCTTCTTCTGGTTTATGAATACATGCCAAATGCCAGCCTTGACAGATACATATATGGTGGGTGCTCCTAAAACATTATATTGTTATGATTAGTATTTATTTTGTGCTGGCTGGGATAGATGTATATAAAACCTTTCCCATTTTTCATGATTGGCAGGAGAGAAACGGGGGATGTTGAACTGGAAGCAACGGGTTGATATAATATTCGGTACAGCCAGGGGTCTTGCCCATCTGCATGAGGTGTGCATCATACACAGAGACATCAAATCTAGCAATATACTTCTAGATGATAAATTCCTTCCCAAAATAGCTGATTTTGGTTTGGCTAGGCTTTTCCATGAAAATAAGAGTCATCTTACTACTAAATTTGCCGGGACTTTGTAAGCCTAATACCCTTATTTATTTTCCATGTTTTCTTTTCCACATTTTTTTATTGAACTTGTGCTTGCTGCAATAGGGGATATACATCACCAGAATATGCAATTCATGGTCATTTATCGGAGAAAGTTGATATCTATAGTTTTGGCATTGTAATCTTGGAGATCATCAGTGGTCGAAGGAGTTGTGACATACGAGTTGAACCCGTAACTGAGTATCTCCTAGAACAGGTAATTTCTTGTCTGAAGAGGCCGGTTTATCTTGATATATTCTACAATTGACTTCGGCATCATTTTACAAATACAGGCATGGAAACTGTACGAGAATGAGGAACATCTAGAACTGGTGGATAAGAGTTTAGACCCGAATGAGTATAAAGCAGAAGAAGTGAAGAGAATGTTGGAGATTGCATTGGTGTGCACCCAATCACCCTCCAATCTAAGGCCAAGCATGTCAGGAGTGATGGTCATGCTTTCAAGTACAGATGCCTCACTCATTCGGAGACCACAATTCAGGCCAACCACCATTAATGATTTTAATAAGAGGGTGCCAACAGACACTTCAACACTTTCTAATGCTACCATTTCATTTTCTCGTTTCTCGGGCCGCTAGCCTTATTTTGATCTTGCTAGCTTGCTTTGTGATGTGTGTGTATTTATTTATTTATAGATTTTTTTAGGGTTTAGGCTTTGTAATAAAAAGTAAAAGCACAATGAAATTGTATGTATTAAAAGCATTGTTGAAGTGGAAGCAATTGAAATGTATGTAAAGAAAATTTTAGCTTTGATCCAAAGTGAAATTAAAGATATATACAAACTTGAATTGAAGTTGTAGTGGAATTGCAATCTTAAATTACAATCTAATCTAACCTAGTCTAACCCTATTCTACCTGGAGAGAAGTTTGAGAGTGTAAATATCAAAAGTTTGCTTAAAAAATAATTGTCAATCCCCTTTTATAGTAGATGGAGTACGTCACGCCTCATTTCAGAATATTGGGTTGTACCCGCACGGACTTAGCTCAATGGTTTAGTGAGCAGTATTTGGGGTAAAAGATCAAGGTTTGAACCTCGGCGGCGGCAATGTGAGAATTATGTCCAAAGTGGGCAGATTCCTTGTGCGCACCAGTATTTGGCCCTTTGTCTACTAACACATTGAGTCACACATTGAGTCACCGTGATTTACATCCTCCCACATGCTCTGACGGGTCGGAGTGTGGGGGCCCCTAGGGTTGGGGATTCAGCCTTTTTGGGGTAAGAATATTGGGTTGCTCACGATTGTGAGTCGTCCAATCATGACAATTTTACTTTGAGCAACAGTTCTGGTTTCTAACTCAATTTTCACTTTGTAAAAGTCTAATTAGACTAATTTGTTGTCTTCATAGAAGTTGTAACCATTTCAATTATTTTTCTAACTAGTAACTCACCCACGCGATGCACGATAAAAAATTATGTTATTATAAATATAAATTAAAAAATAGAAAAACTAAAATATTTTAAATTATTTAATATAATAATATTTTTGAGCTTCCATTCGTCAAGTATTTATTATTTTTATAGAATACAAAATTACAATTAAAATTATAATTATAATTTTATATGGTTAATATAATCTCTAATTATGTGCATATTCAAATAAACTTATAGAGAAAATTTACATAATTACATTGATTTATTCTTAATTGTATTTCATCTATATTATAATTTTCACAATACGAATAATAACTAAGATAATTACATTTGGAAAGCAAATTTCAAATTTTGTATGTGTAAATTTAAACTCTAATTGAACACATTTTTTATATGATTATATAATATATAGCTATTTTATTTTTCAAAAGTATATTTTTTATATGATTATATAATATATAGCTATTTTATTTTTTAAATGTTGTGCTTTTTTTTTTTTTATCACAATACGAATAATAACTAAGATAATTACATTTGGAAAGCAAATTTCAAATTTTGTATGTGTAAATTTAAACTCTAATTGAACACATTTTTTATATGATTATATAATATATAGCTATTTTATTTTTCAAAAGTATATTTTTTATATGATTATATAATATATAGCTATTTTATTTTTTAAATGTTGTGTTTTTTTTTTTTTATCACAATACGAATAATAACTAAGATAATTACATTTGGAAAGCAAATTTCAAATTTTGTATGTGTAAATTTAAACTCTAATTGAACACATTTTTTATATGATTATATAATATATAGCTATTTTATTTTTCAAAAGTATATTTTTTATATGATTATATAATATATAGCTATTTTATTTTTTAAATGTTGTGTTTTTTTTTTATAATAAAGGATGTTGTGTCATTAATTGTAACATTAATTATTTCCCAAACCATATAGCTTTATTATATAAAGGATACCATTTGAATCACTTGATTTGACATTCCTATGTTGAGATATGATTAAAATATCAAGATGTAGCCTAACTGAGAAAAATAGAACAAAGTTTCTCACGTTGACATTAATAGTCGTGAGCACCAGCGTGAAGCTTGGTCTTCACTTGAAAATGTACTTTTCTTCATTTCTTTTACTCATTTGGGTCCCGGGGTCATGCCAGGGTACTTCTAACTCACTCTTCTTCACCTTCTTAACTTCTCACAACTCACTAAACACACTTTTTTGTCAAGGTGACTTTAACATATATCCAATTATCCTCTAATTTACGTGCTTTTACAATCAATGTCTCCAAACCACCTTAATGGCATAAAAAGAATCTAATAAGCACATACTTAACTTCCAATTAATACAAAATTATATAAATTTGATGTGAGATATATACATAAAAATAGTAAGAATGGGCATTAATTAGTTTGTTACTGCTATCCCATCACCAACTGTAATAGTGTCAAGAAAGGGATACAACTCATACAATAAAGTGATGGTCCGAACAAGAAAAATATTATTTAAGTACATAAATAGGCATTTTTAACTTTTTGAAAATGATGATTAACTTGTGTAAGACTTGATAAGCTAATTTCTCAACAATATACCAAAATATTATGTTGAAATTAACTAATTTTTCTTGATGATTTAGTAAAATGAATAGTAGAAATCTTAACCTAACCCAAAACATTAATGAATCTCATTCAAAATAATACCTCAAAATGCCAATTAATTTTTCTAACAAGTATTTTATATTGATTACTGCAAGCACACTAGTTTAATATTACCCCTTAAAGAGTGCTTGAACCCACAATGTAAGGGAGGTAATTGAAATTTAATTTCTTAATAAGCCTTTTGAAAAAGTGCTTGTATTGTGGAAGCACAGTGTTAAAAGATTTACCTAATTAAACGAGTATAAAAGTGTGGTTGCTTCAACAAACTTGGAGCTTGACTTGTTTGCTCATGTATGGATACGGATTCATTGTCATTAACAGGCCCGGATTTTCGGCTGTGCAAGCTGGGACTACCGCACAGGGTCCCAAATTTTAAAAGCTCAATATTTTATTTTTACCTATTTAGTTTAGAAATAAAAATTAAAAGTTTTTAATTAAATTTAAAAGGCTTTATAAAGAAATGGTATGAACATGTATTTATTGTATTTTAACTTAGAGGTCTAAGGTTCAAAACTTGTGTACACTATTATTATTATTCCATAATGTCTATTTTTACATGTGCGTTGCACGGAAAAGATTTGTTATATAGTGCAATTGATGAAATTGGTTGTATGGATTATGTTTTTTTTTTTATGTTATCCTTGCTTGAATTCGAGCAAATAATTGCCCAATTATCCGTGCAGTGTGCGTGCGATGCACGGATAATTTTTTTTTGTTGTTATATATTTAGATAATAAAATTACGGTATTAGTTTTATAGATTTTAATTTTGGTAGAGCCTTATTTATTTATCCGAACAGGGCCACAAAAATCTAAAAACCGGCCCTGGTCATTAATAGTTTCAAGTTGCAAGTGTGTTTGTTATTGAAAATTCATGTGTGTATCTCCTTCAATAACTCAAAGTGGTTGTATGATTCAAAGTTTAGTCTACCATTATGACCTCATGAATTATTGTTGTAAAGATTTGTTGCACCAAGTGAAAGTTCAATCTTAGTGATATTTTTGTTATGCATGAGTTTTGAGGATTTATCTTGTGGCAAATGATGAGCATGTTATTACATTTACCTTATAAATGGTGAAAGGATTGTTGGAGATTTATGGAGTAAATATTGCTCAAGTTCATACACGATTCCTTGTTACACATCCCTTTGGTACCGCCGCGGATATAAATGTTTGATAAAGATGTTGCTTTTCTTGGTGACGAATTAAGTTGAGATAGAGGCCAACTCATTACGTTTGGGGAAGGCCAAGTCATTATTCAGACACTAAATTTTTTATCTTTCTTCATATATTTATAAATATTATCATCTCATTTCTATCATGACATAGATTCTTTTTATTCTTATAAATATTTATCTTCATGTACTTCAATATTATGAATTACCACCGCCGCCCCCACCACTGCCACCACCACCACTACCACCCCAGCACCACCACCGCCACCACCACCATCACCACCACCGCCACCACCATCGCCGCCGCCGCCGCCGCCACCACCACCACCACAGCCACCAGAACCACCACCCAGCAGCACCACCGCCACCACCACCACAACCGTCGCCACTCCCACCACCACCGCCGCCGCCACCACCACCATCGCCACCATCACATATTTTTATAAGGGTATTTATGTCTTTTAAAACATATTTCATTTCTATTCCTTAAATCAACCAAACACTGTAATATAATTCCTAAAGTCTATTCCTTCCGCGAACCAAACAATAGAATACAATTCCTATTCTATTCCTTGCCTATTCCATTCCTTATGGAATAGCATTCCTATTACCTCAAAATTCATTCCGTGAACCAAACGTGTTGTAAAAGTCTCAGTGGATACGTTGATGGCACGTTATCTGTCCAGCTTTATTTATTAAGGCTCTGGATGAGTGTTCCGTTGTAGTCGCGCTCCGGATGAGTGTTCCGTTGTAGCAGTGCTCTAGATGAGTGTTCCAGTGTAGTCGATCCTATGGTTAAAATTTTGGTCTGTCTAAATTCTTTTATTTTGTCCATGTTCATCTCGTCTCTGTCCCTATAAAGACTATTGAGTCGCCTTTAGGTCTTCTTTTCGAGCAAGATATCTGAGTTTCCATAGTCGGCTACTGTCTTTGAGCCAGTGGGATTTCACTAGGGGAGTGAGTATCTTGGCAAAGCCAAGGTTTTAATTTGACTACTAAAGAACCTATGACAATGCCACTAGTAATGCCATGTTAAATGATCCAAGAAACAAGCTAGCTGAAAACCTTAAGCTTGAGGGGACGTATTATGACTTTGTATTCTAGACACGCTATAATTTATTCTCTAATTATTGAAAATATTATCATTTATCATTCTTATCCGGAACTCGATCTTTGTAAATTTGTAATTACTTATTTTCATGATATTGATCAATAATAAAATTATTTTCAAAAGCCAAAACTATTGTTATCATCCCTCCAGCCTGCCTGTCGCCAGTAAGCTTTGACCAGTATTATATAATTAAGAGCAAATTACATTTTTGGTCCTGTGACTATAGAGAGTGTGTTAATTTGGGTTCGTGACTTTTAAAACTAACAATTTAGTCCTTTAACTATCATTTTTTTAGCAGATTTGGTCCTCCCGGCCAAATTGCCGGTGGAATTTGACCAAAAAGACGTTCGATTTTTTAAATCAAATATTGATGGGGGTAATTC